GGGGGGGCCAGGCACCCCGGCAGCCCCGGCCGCCAGCGCCCGGCCCGACCCCGCTCCCCGCCCGGCGGCCCTCGAGAGGCACCGGGGACGCCCACGGAAGCCGGGACAGGTGGACGCGGGTCCGCCCTATCCAGGATAAGTCCTGGGATACTGCAACACGCTCCCGAAAGTCACGTTGCCACGGCAACTCGACTGCCGCGACACCGGAACCGGAACCTCCATCCGGAAGTGACACCTTCCCGGCGTTCCGCGGATCTGGCGAAGCCCCGCCCAGCTCCTTTCCCAGTGGTCCCGGAGCTTCCCAGCTGGCCGCCAGCCCTCGGGAGGAAACTCGTCTTCTCCTTCGTTTTGCCTCGCGTTGTGCCGCAGCGTGACTCTGATAGACGTGCACTTCCTCCAATCAGCTGACAAAGCGGTTGCCTACGGCCAATAGCAAAGCTGCAGGAGGTGCTCAGGCGCAAGGACCACCTCTCACAACCACTTTTCTTGAAAAATATATATAATAATAGGAAACTAAAGACAGTGCAGAAGAAGGATGGACAATGGGAATTTAAGGGAGGGAAGCAAAATATTTAATGGACACAAAAATGGATTATTGTTTGCTAATGATAATGTCTTTGACTGGACTGATATGCAGTGTGATAGGAGAAATACTAGACAGCATTAAGCATCCAAACATCCAGATAATCAGTATCCCAGAAGGTGAGAAAACTAATAAGGACATGGATAATCTATTCCACGAAATCTTGTTCTAAACATAGAGAGGCACTAAATCATCCAGACCCAAGAAATACAAAGCATCCCACATAGAATCAATTCAAGATGATCTTCTCCAAGGCACATCATAGCCATATTGACCAAAACCACAGACAGAGACAAAATACTAAATTTGGCAAAATAGAAACGTCAAGTTACTTTCAAAGGATATCCCATCAGGCTAATGTCAGACCTCTCATCCGAAAAAATATGAGGAAAGAATGGGAAAATATATTCAAAGTGTTAAGTGAAAAACAGTTCCAACCAAGAATACTATACCCAGCAAGATTATCTTTCATATGGAAAGAAAGGATAAAAGCATTCTCAGATAAACAAGACCTAAAAGAATTTGCCAATAGCAGACCCACTCTTCCAGAAGTTGTGAAAGGAGTGCTCCGCCAGGAAAACTAAAGGCACATAAAGAAATAAAAGAACAAAAGTCAACCAAGAAAATGACCAATTTAGGGAGATTCGAGCTGAAGTCCCTGGCCGTCTAGGTCTCTGGCCAGCGTGCGGGGATGAGTGGGTCCCTGAGACTAACGGCAGCGGTTCTCCTCTGCTGGGGGCGCGGCGCGGGAGGAGGCCTGTGGGGTACGGGCTTGCGGGCAGCGGTGTGGCGGCCTGTGGGGTACAGGCGAGCTGGCGACAGGCTAGGGCGCAGGTGGTGGCGGCTCTGGAGCAGCTGGACGCGCTGGTGAAGAAGGACAAGGTGGCAATCTTCCGTAAGGGGAGGCGGGAGCAGCCCCAGTCGGCTTCAGCAACGCAGTGGTGCAGATCCTGCGGCTGCACGGCGTCCGCGACTACGCGGCCTACAACGTGCTGGACGACCCCGGACTCCAACAAGGAATTAAATGCGGACTGCGAAGGTGGGGATGACCGCGCAGGCCGCTGTGCGGGTCAGGGGTCAGCTGCCCTGGTCAGGCCCTGGGTCCTATATGGGACCAGGAGGGTCGCTGCAGGAAGCTGAGGGGTTCTGCATCGTGGGACTGCGCTAGGTAGATCGTCCACATGGAGATGGTGAGGAGCGTCTGTTTGGGGATTCGGACGAGTTAGAGGGTTTTGACTTGAACAGGGTTTGAAGATCTGGGGCTTTGTAATGGGCTAAGTTCTAGGGGTGCAACTTTCTCACTTTGAGCTAAAGTAGGCGTTTCAGGGTGCGTTGTCTCTGGCTGGGTCCGAGGTGGGCGGTACACAACCCGACTCCCTGCCCTGCAGGCCTGGGGTTGTAGGGCACAGAGGGAGCTCACCATGAGCATGCAGTATGAGGCAGGCACTTCGGGACACTTTGGGACATTGTAAGGAAAACCCTGAGCCTGTTTTGGGATCAGGGATTGGTTCTGTTGAGGAGGGCAGGGGCCAGCCAAGTCCTCTTGTTTCACAGCTCAGGGTGTCAGGGACCTTCTGCTGTCACACAAGGACTGGGTTGTTACTACAGTGGGGCTGGTCTTGTAGCTGCTGTCTCTAGTTGGGGGTGGGGGGCAGGCCTGGCATTTAGTTTTAGATACTGGAGGGGGTGATAACATGTGGACACTGGGGTTCAGCGAGGCTTGTGGGTGCGGAGACCCAGGGGCTCCTGCCCAAGCTTGCAACTTGAGGGGCCAGGACCCTGGGGAGGAGGGAGACCCAGCTGCCAGTTAGCATCTTTAGTAGCCAGCGGGGTGCCAGGTACCGTGTGTGTGTGTGTGTGTGTGTGTGTGTGTGTGTGTATTCTCCCATTTTGTCAGAGTGGGCGAGAAGAGGCCAGGCACTAGGGCCCCCTCTTTGGCAATTGTTGGTAAAGATTGGTGGAGAAATGGGAAGGTTGTACCTGTTCCTCCTGGTGGGTGGAGCCCGGGACCCTCAGGGGCTGAATTCCCAGTCTCGCATGCCTGGTGCCCCCTCAAAGTCATGGTGCAGTTCCCGACTCTGTGTCAGGATGGGTCGTCATGGGCCGTCATGCTATTGATACGTTTGAAATGAGTAATCATGACATTCCTGGCACTGAAGAGACACTAGTGGTATGGAAAGACTTGGGGTTGGAATCCTCTTCTGTGGCCAGGTCACTTAACTGCATTTTCGTTTTCTGTAAACTGAGGATGAGATCCAACTTGGCCAAGCTTTTGTATAGAAAAAAAGAGAAAGAAAAAAGGTTAGGAAATGCATATCATCTCATCTGACACAGAGGGCACCCAGTAAATGGTAGTTATTTTATTATTAGTGCTTTATGGTTCTTTAGGTAATTCTCCCCCTCCCCCATTATCTACTCTTTACAGAAGCCGGTCTTCCATTTGCCATTGGGGGTAGGGTGGTGGGTGGAGCCTTGGAGGCGTGCAGAGGGAGTGAGAAGGCTGCTTAACCTCACCAGGTCTGTCAGCAGTACCGTGTGTTAGCCTGTGACCCTTCTGTCTTCTTGGTCGGCTAGGATGTTCACTGCCCATTGTCAGGCTCTGGTTTTCTCTTGTGTGGGAAGATCGCAGTCTTCATTCAGGGGCAGCTTCACCACTGAGAAGATAAGACAGGAATAACTGTTCTACAGTGTTTCTTATTTATTTACTTACTTTGGAGAGGTTTATGCTATAGGGCGTGTGCGCTCACCAGAAAGACACAGAGAGAAGGAGAGACAGAAAGCGGAAAAATCACACACACACACACACACACACACACACACAGGGAGATGGCCACACTTCAATCCTTTCTCCTCCATTCTCCTCTCAGGATCTTGGGCATGCACGCACGCACACACACATGCCCAGCGTGAGTTCAAGCCACCAGCCCGGGACTTGAACCCCTGTCGACTACATGGGAGTCCAGTGACATAGCCATTACGCTAACTGCTAGTCCCTCTACAGTGTTTCAACTGAGACCTTGCAGCGAGTCCCCTGCAAATTGCCAGTAAAGTCATTAGTAAAAAGTTCATTGTTGATAGTATTTTTTGAAATTGTCAGAAGGCTCATGTGCTCTGCAGAGACAGGGAGAACACGCCTTCCCTCAATGGCATGTGACCACTCCACATGCAGTCCCGTCCCCATCTCTCCATCCCGTCGGGGCTTCGGCTACATGCACATACACACAGCAGGTTTGCCAGGCCTCCAGGATTCAAACCATGGTCAGTCCCGTGGGATCCCGTTCACTTAGCCAGGCTATGGGGGTGGTCCCGTTGTTGATACCTTGCTTAGTATAAAATGTCGAGGGTCTTTGGTTTGTGAATTTACATCGTTTTACTTACTATAACTGAAGATGGGATATACTAGAACGTGGCCAATAAACAAGTAGGAGTGAAAAAGAAAACGAGAATGTTTACTGATGGCATTTGAACGTGGCCAATAAACAAGTAGGAGTGAAAATGAGAATGTTTACTGATGGCATTAATGTTTCTCTCTTTGGTCTTATTTGACTTCTGATTTCCTGTTCTTAAGTGTTCAGGCAGCAGCAGTAGGAATTTACTTTAATTTCTTGACCATGGGCTTCACCAGACTATTTTGGTTGATAAGTGTGTTGTGTATATATTGAGCATAACCTGCACTCCCTCTGTTGCTCAGGAAAGTAAAGCTTAGCGGAAGTATTAGCACACAGGCTGGGACAGGTGGTGTGCGCGTTTCCACAGTGGGGATTAGTGCGGCTGTGGTAAGACTGAAACGTTAAAGCTCTTCTCCTCTGCTCCCTGCACCTCCCACCTGACCGGGAGAGACTGCCAGGCTTTCCCATGCTTGCTTTTGCCAGCCGAAGATGTCTGTGTACCTTTCCGGGTTCCGGGGTCACCTCAGTAACAGAACAGGGGCTCTGCACAATCGGCCTGTCCCCTTGTGTCAGGAAGGCTGAGCTTTGCAGAGACCACAACCCAAAGAAGATGCTGTCTCCCAGGTCGGCTCCAGGGTCCAGGGAGTGAGATGCAGAGTGGCCTCGTCCTGAGACCACGACCCAAGGGACAAAGGTGACGGAGGCAGCCTTGTGCCCTGGTCTTCCTCAGGGCCTTGTCTACCTCCTGTTTATCTGAAGTACACAAGGAAGACAGCCACAGAGGGATCAGGTCCCAGGAGCTGGTCAGCACCGTGTTCTAATCCTGGTCTTACAAAGAATGCTACTTGCATTCATTTATAAAAGTAACACTGGAAAGTGTAAAGAAAATGATCTATAATTCCACATAATCAATTACACAATTGACTCTATTTTCTCTAGTTGTTTGTTTGTTTGTTTACAGGCTTGCGGTCATGCTTGTCCACACATGGTGCGTTGCCCTCTGGAGCGTGGTAGCACGTTCATGCACCCACCTGTGGCGCTGTGTATGCCGCAGAGCAGGCTTTCAGTGGTGCTGGAGTGGAGAAATTGATGTGTCTTTTATTTATCATCATATGGCAGACTCTTACATGCCCTTGGAAATGTTATAAACACAATTTCTGTTCATTTGAATCACCATTGTATTCCTTGCCTCAGGAACAGGGTCTGATGGAATAGGGGCTGAAATACTAGTTAAATAAATAGCCATTATCCTATTGAATGTTGTTAGGTATTTGAAAATATGCTCAACTTCTCTAGTTAACTTAAGACAGTAGTAAAACATCTCTCATGGGCCAGCCTGTGGCTTGGTGGTTAAAGTAGCTGGATCCCACATGGCCAAAGGCATGGTTCAAGTCTTGGATCCAGTGGCTTGAAAAACACACCAGGCACATGTGCGTGTGTGCCCAAAAGCCCAACAAGAGGGAGAGTTGGAGGAGAAGGGATTGCCGTGTGACCATGCCCCATGTAAGGATTCTGGTGATCTGCCATTCTCTTACTGGACAGTTAGAAAAAACAGTCTGTAATAACAGTTTAATGAGGTGGCTCAGAAGCGTGCCTTCGGAGGCCTTGACCATTGGAACATCTCTTACCGTGTGAAGTCTGGGGAAGAAAGATAAAGCCCTCGGCTCAGGGCTGTCATTTAGGGCAGAGTCACCATTTCTCTGGAAGACAATGGCTTTTAAGAGAAAAATACATTGTATCTTGGGGCTGTTATTTGTGAGATGACTCAAACAGGTCATTTTATTTGGAAAATATGTGTTTGGTGATAATTGATGCGAGTATCAGGAACACGCCTTGGTCTTTTTAGTTTGAGAATCACCACTGGACCGATTTTTAAAATTTATACACTAGCATACAGTGCAGAGTTGTGCAGTATAAAATATGACATAAATGTGTTTTGTTGGAAGAATCTGTTGACTTTTCTGTTTTGTTTGGCCTTTTAAAACCACAAATGCCGTCTATAGTGTTAGGTTATTATGGGCCATGCTGTTGACTACCCTTTTTAAAGTTTTTCTTCTATAAGGTGCTTGCACTCCCTGGAGAGAGATAAATCACACCCATGGGGAATGGCCAAGCCCTAGTCCCTCTCCTCCACTCCCCTCTTGGGATGTTGGGTGCCTACCCACACACAAACACGTACTTGGTGTGATTTTAAAGCCACCAGGTCCAGGACTTGAACTACATAGTTGGCTGTGTGGGATCCAGCTGTCTTCATCTCTGTGCCACCTTTTGGCCTGACCACCCTCTGTTTTATTTATTTATTTATTTATTTATTTAGAGATTTTTGCTATAGGGCACATGTGCTCGCCAGACAAACAGAGAGAGACAGAGAGACAGAACCCGAGAAATCACCCCCCAGGGGGGATGGCCACGCCGCAGTCCCTTCTCCTCCATTCTCCTCTTGGGATCTTGGGCACGCACGCACACGCGCCCAGCATGAGTTTTAAGCCACCGGGTCCGGGACGCAAACCGCGGTCAATTACGTGGGAGTCCAGCGACATAGCCATTACGCTAACTGCTGGTCCCAACCACCCTCTGTTTTTAACAAAACCAACACAGATCTTTTTCTTGGCTGACTATGTTTTTGAAAGTGTATTTGTCTCAGCATTTAAGTAAAAAAGGACGTAGAATGATGAAGGGCAATCTTCTGTGTCTTGGTTGAAGCCATGTTTCTTTCCTCCTTATGTTTCGACCATCATCCTTGTGGCCCGGAACTAGACAGCTTCCTCACCTGGCTGCGGCCTAGAACCAGACAGCATCCTCACCTGGCTGCGGCCTGGAACCAGACAGCATCCTCATCTGAATGCGTTGTCTTGTCGCAGATTCCACCTCTTCTCTCTGGCCCTCACAGCCATTCACACGTAGGGTTGATCATATGCATGGGGCCAACCTCTTGTCTGCTGTGAGCTTTGAGAGCTCCCTGTCACCCCTACCCCCGGACCCCCTCCACTCCCTCCCGTGCCCCTCTGCTCCCCTGCCCTGTGCCTGGCCCAGACATGGACCTGTTGACCTGTCAGCCTTCCTTCATTAGAAACCTGTCATTACTTCGGGTTCTGTGCTGAGCCAAGTCACCTGCCACATGGAGGCCCAGAAGGGTAACTAAGTGGGGTGGTGGCGTATGGTCCAGTCATGGGACAAGGGTTTCCTCCGGGTAGACGTGAGTATTAAAGATGAAAAGCTCAGCGACTGGACGTCTTGAGCATCAGTAAGGTGGCACGCACCAGCCCAGGCAGCACGAAAGCAGAGGCTTCCTGATGGCGAGGCGAGTTATCACGGTGGGGCTATGTCAAGGCAGGCCATTTGAAAATGGAGTTGTGTCACTTCCTCAAGTTTTATTTCACCGAAAACATGACTGGCAGACACATGGAGAGTTAACCGGTCTGCTTTTCTGCCTTTAACCCAGTGTCCCCGGTGTCAGGTGTTGGTGTCAAGTATCTTATCGAAAGCTGTGTTTACCTGACTTGCACAGAAACCCATCAGGTGTGGGTGGAGATGGATGCGATAGTGAGAGCTGATCTGCGGTCTTCCAGTTTGTAGTTGGAAGAGTCAGGGTCAAGCCCTGGGCCCTAGGACCCTAAAGCCCTACTCTTCAAAGCAAACAGTGGGTCTCCCAAGGTGGGGCAAGCAAGGAGGCACCCCACATCTTCTGCTAGGAGTGGTTAAAAGCTGTGTTTTGGTCCAGCTCTGCCCATTCAGTAACACCCAGCTGTCCTTCCCTCGTAGGCATTAAAGACTACTCCAACTGGCCCACCATCCCGCAGGTGTTCCTCAACGGCGAGTTCGTGGGGGGCTGCGACATCCTCCTGCAGATGCACCAGAACGGGGACCTGGTGGAAGAACTGAAAAAGTTGGGGATCCGCTCCGCTCTCTTAGATGAAAAGAAAGACCAAGACTCGAAGTGAGGCTCCGGGGTCCTCACTGCGGACAGGAGCCGTCCCCGCCGGGACTCAGTGCCGGGAAGCCTTACTGATTCTGGTTGTCCCTGCTCGCTCGAGCGCTCGCACCCCCTCCGGTCTGTAAGCAGACAGGTGACCTTCGCGTGTCTGGTGTCCGGGCTAAGAATGTTCTATTGTAAACGTAATCACAACCACTGCGCTGTATAATGCAACGTTCTATGCTGTCCTACACGGGTGTGCTCTTACATTCTCAGTCGTTCTTTGCCTGATTCAGGAGTAAAACGAGGAGCTTTTGAATCATTTTATTCAGACTTCTGTGTGGATGTGTCAGTCTGCAAAGATAACATATCCTCCCTCCCCATTTTCTTTTGTAATTTCTTCTGTTAAGGAAAATGATGGACAAGGAAGACAGTGTGATGACTGGGGTGTTGTTTTTTAAAATAAATTGCCAACACAGGGACGCTGGGCCTTTGTGAGTTAATTCTGGCAGCGCCTGTCCCTGAGGGTTTTTGTGCCAGTGACCTTGTCTGGGGAGGTTAGGCGTGCCTCCATGCTTTTCTATTAAACTTGTCAAAGAATCTCCAGCAAGCTGTGCTTCAGTTTCTCTCGGGGAAGTGGGTGGTGAGTGCTGGGTCAGCAACCCAGCTGGACCTGTGAGCAGACCGGATAGAAATGGAGGGGTGGGTCTGGAGGAGGAGGTGGGGGTGAGGCTGGAGGAGGGGGGTGGGACTGGA